AGTGTTAACAACTGAGTTGAAAGCGTAAATTAGCCACCGTAAAGGGTAAAAAAGCTGACGTTTCGAGCGTTAGTCAGAGCGATTGACGAAGGGCTAACGCTCGAAACGTCAGCTTTTTTACCCTTTACGGTGGCTAATTGACGTTTTCAACTCAGTTGTTAACACTAAATTACCTGCTATACTCTCCCACCGACGCAGCACCACAGTTTCTTTAGAAACTTGCCCCTTTATTAATACTGATAGTCACATAAGCCGATATATGTTTAAGTTGCCGATGCTGTCTTAATAAAATCTTACATCATCTGTGTAACGATATCGATGTTATCGTTCTATTTACTTCCGGTCCGCATTTACGTCATAACTACCATGGCAACAAAACTTTAGAGACCATGCTTTCCGGTTTTGTAGAGTTCGTCGGACATCGATTAAATAGACCTGTGTTACTTCACCTGTGTGTGTCTTGTTCTTCCTATAAACAACGCCACATGGTGTCAGTGATTTGGGATTCTTCCTACAGAATCGTCGCTGAAATACTTGAGTGCATTTTCAAGCCAAACTCAGTGAATCTAGCTCCAGATGACCGAATCAGGCTCGTCGAGCGTAGCGTCAACAAGCACGCAGCCAGCAACTCCTCAATTTATCCAGTCCTCTATTCCTTTACCGTCGAAACTAGACTTCAAGGGGAACTTAGCTGTGAATTGGAAGAAATTTAAGCGGCTTTGGACAAACTACGAGATCGCCTCACGGCTCAGTACGCAAAGCAGTAATCTTCGAACAGCCACATTGTTGACATGTATTGGCCCAGATATCCTGGAGATTTACGATGGTTTGCCCTTCGGAAATGAAGAGGAGAAAACCGACATCGACAAAGTGATAGAGCTTCTAGACGCCTTTTTCATCGGTGAGACGAATGAAATATACGAAGCCTATCTGTTCAATCAGAGAGTACAGGAGGTCGGTGAGTCATTTGATGTTTTCCTTACAGCTTTACGTTCGTTAGCTAAAACGTGCAATTTTGGCATCATGCAAGAGCGAATGATTAGAGACAGAGTTGTCGTAGGAATTAGAGATAACGCCACCCGAAAAAAGCTGCTAGCTGAGAACAAACTAACTCTTACCAAGTGTATTGATATTTGCCGTGCGAGTGAAACCACATCCAAACAACTTAAGGAGATGTCCCATGCGGAGGAGGTTAGCGCCGTTGCCACAGGCCACCCAAAATCGAAGATTGGTTTACGCCATAATGAAGTACGAAATTTCAGTAAAGTTCAACGCCCCGTCCACAGCAAAGTAACAGAACCAGTTAGATGTAAGTTCTGCCACAGAACCCATCCTTTAAAAAAGGAACTCTAGTAGACCCTGGGAGAAAATCGCAGTTGATCTTTTTGATCTGAACGGTGTAGATTTCATGGTGACCGTTGACTACTATTCAAGCTTCTTTGAAGTCGACAGAATGACAAGCAAGACAGCAGACGAAGTTGTGAAGAAGTTGAAAGCCCATCTTGCCCGCCATGGAATTCCCGACCAGCTTGTATCGGATAATGGACAGCCCTTTTCTTCCGCAAAGTTCCAACAGTTCGCAGACACTTATGGTTTTGAACATATAACAAGCTCTCCAACATATCCTCAGTCCAACGGCAAAGTCGAGAACACGGTGAAGACAGCAAAACATCTGCTAGAGAAAGCCGTCAAGTCCGAACAAGACCCATATCTTGCCCTGCTGGACTGGAGAAATACTCCCACAGAAACACTCAACTCGTCACCTGTTCAGCGATTATTCGGTAGAAGAACAAAGACTCCACTCCCAACCTCAAACCAATTGCTCAAGCCGAAGCTACCAGAGGAGGTTGATCAGAAGTTGAAGCTACAAAAGGCTAAACAATCCCTGTACTACAATCAAGGCGCCAAAGAACTGAAGGAACTGCGCCCAGGAGACACAGTGCGATTGCAGCCACTAAAATCCCACTTGGGAAAGAAGAAGGATTGGACCCAAGCAAGAGTCGAAGGCAAAGTCGACATAAGGTCCTATCAAGTCAGAACAGAAGATGGAAGAATTTATAGGAGGAACCGCAGACACCTGAGACATACACGTGAAGTGATGCCACACAGTGAAGATGGGATGAGACACAGTACCTTTGCAGAACACGGACAAGCCACATCCGGAATATCCACCTCAGTCTGCAGCAGATAAGCAGGAGATTTCCCCATCGGTGACCACCACTCGATCTGGACGAATTGTGCGACCACCCACACGTTACCAGTGATTGGGGTTATCGAAAGAACAAAAAAAGGACATGACAAACTCTTAATTTTCTTTTTTTGTAGTTTATTTTAAACTAGGATTGAGACATTCAGTTACGTTTACATTTTTTTTTGTTTCCTGAAGAAAGGGAGATGTAACGATATCGATGTTATCGTTCTATTTACTTCCGGTCCGCATTTACGTCATAACTACCATGGCAACAAAACTTTAGAGACCATGCTTTCCGGTTTTGTAGAGTTCGTCGGACATCGATTAAATAGACCTGTGTTACTTCACCTGTGTGTGTCTTGTTCTTCCTATAAACAACGCCACAATCTGTTTATTAAAACAACTAGGATTTCGTCTATGCAAAGTTGGAGCGTCCAGACTTAAGCTGGGACTTGTCGAGAGTTGATGAGAAAATTGAACCTTGCCTTGAAGCTGTTACTGATCCTCATCGTGTTGAAATGGTTCGAGAGGTTTGTGAAGCTTTTAGAAAGAATGTGAAACCAAAACTACATCTCTTACCCAAGCAAATCATCGCCGGGGATCCAAATTACACCAATCTAGTATTTGCTTCCCGTAATAAGCATTTTTCTCAGTATTCAGTGCAAGATATTGCTTTCATAGACTTAGCTTGGACACTCAAACTACAGTTATACAGTATTTGATCTTGCAATTCCTCCGATGTTCCTTGTGAATGTTGAAAGGGTTTTAACCTGCGGGCGAAGTCAGATGGCGGGACTCTTCTTCGCGGGATATCACTCGGTTCATCCCTTATCTAGCGAGGAGTTGGAAGTCTTGCCTGTGCTGGTAGCGCCAAGGTTTTGTCAATCATTACTATGTGGCGCTTTTATCAGCAAACACGTTGATCCTGGAAATGAATATATCTTAGAAACAACCAAAAACGGGTGGAAAGTGTTTGAAGAATTTTGGACGACACCAGAGGAAGAGGTGCTACAATTATGAATGGAAATGAACCGAAACAAAGACAAAACCAAAATAGACTTTGAAAGTGTTGGTATACATAGAGGAGATGTCATTAAGATATTAACATGAATTTTACTAAATGTCATATAATGGTGTTCTGAATGTAGTAACAGAACAATAGATTAGGTTTTAACGCAATTAAGTAGATGAAGTCTTCAATGAAGTACTTATAATTTGCTCATCTCGGTATAACTTTAGTTCTCTTTAGCCCTCAATATTATTTCAACACTTAGCAATTTACTCGAAACAGCATTCTCCACAGACCCCCAAGCGCATATTTATGCTGCTTAATCCTGAGCAGTGGTGGGGGTCTGGGTACAAGCGAACCGCTTTCATGGCTTTTATGATGATGATCTTTTTTTTCTTTCATTTTTCTTTCTTTGCCTTTGCCCCAAAAAATTTATACATAGTCGGTCGTGGAATAACGCTCGGCTCTCTAACTAACAAATTATGTGCTAAAGAAGAAAAAAAAAACGAAAAAAGAACAAAAAAACATAGCAACGTAAGCAACGATCAGTTGAAAAAAATACAGAAAAAGCTTGACAGCAAACCAAGTGCTCACAATTAAAAGTATTAATCCTGCATTATCCTGCAAATATTTATGTTGATGTGTGAACTTATTACTTAAGACTAGACAAGAAATCGTCACTTTGTCAGATACAATCAAGGTATTACATTTGCAGCATGGGTGTTGTGAGCGGTAAGGCATGGCGAAAACAAACCAGCAAAGTAATTAAGTTCAAACATTTTTGTTTCAATCAACGGATCTCCTTTTTACTAAATTTAAAATTTTTTTGTTTATTTATTTTCTCTAAATGCCGTAGCCAGAAGTAGGAGAAAAAGAAGCAAATTGCTTGGGACTGAAATTGAAAATCTGAGCCCCCATTTATTTTACGTGCCATGAGATTCTCAAATCTGCTAATTTTTACGTGTTTCGTTTTGGTAATTTAACAGGAGAAGATCTAATAAAATTTAAAATACTTCATACAAAAAGTAGACAATTCGTGCGTTTGTAAGACAATGACAATAACTAGCACTCGGGGTTTATAAACTTCAATTATAACCAGATGCTTTATTTAAAACGACTCTGGAACATGTCGAAGTCCTCCCACTTGCATGGAACGTGAATCTCTCGTCATAAAGAGCTTCTTATCATCATTATCACTAAGATTGCGGAAAGAAGTTTACACTACCATCGAAACAAAATTTACATGCATAAAAATAAAGGTTACGAAGAGCGTAGGAAGCTAAGACACTTATTTCAAGTTAAATACCATTTTAAAGTTTTGACCCTTCTGTGCTTAATTTCCAAGAAAGAAGTGTTTTGGAAAATACGCTGCTGTAAATTAAACCAACTTCGCACTGTGGAGACAAACAACTTCAATTTGGATAAAAAAAAAACGGCTCAATAATTCAATTTGCCACTTAGGAACAATTGGTTTTGCTTTTTGACTTACCAAACAACCACTTTGCTTGGATTCCCAATTTCCATTTTTCATTATGTCAGTTTCAGATGATTTATTAAAGAAAAGACTGTCCACAGCAAATATTTCGCTTCACCTGTTTCCGCCTCCTTTCTGATAATCCCGTATTTCATCTAAAAAGATAAATACGAGGCTGATAAGGAGGCGAAACAAGACAGTGTTGCCATAGACGACCCTCGAGCGTGGCAGGAAACAGAAAGGACCCGCTGATATAGATATGTCACCTATAAAACTGACAGAAAAAAATTTGCAAGAAGGAGTGCCTCGCAGTCTTCGCAGAAAATATGGAGCTCAACACTACGAACTCAACCTCGGCGAATACTGCGGAAGCACCTCCGACTTTGAAGCACGGTGCGAAAGCTGCTTTTCTCTACGATATCTATTTAACGAGAGGTGTTCTCGCCATCAGCATGGCAGTGATCACATCATTCTCAAATGGCCTTGTGATATTTTTAGTCCTAAAAGATCCAAAGAAAAATCTTCGTTCATCTCCAACATGTCTTCTTGTAGCAAGCCTTGCTCTGGTGGATTTAGCAGTCGGCTGCGGCCTGGAGCCTACGGATGCACTCTATAGTCTTGCCATTGCAAATAGAAAGAAGCCCAGTTTAGATCGAAAAGACTTGCAGAGTGCTGCCGCGTTTCTTCTCTTGTCCTCGACAGTTCTGGTGATGCTGATAACTTTCGACCGACACACAGCAGTATCTCGACCCATTCAGTACCCTTACAGCATCACAAAGAAAAGAATCACCATAAGCGTTGTGTTAGTCTGGGTCTATTGTGCGATTCTTATAGTAGCAATACGCCGCTGGGGAAAAGAACTCAGGAACATTCTTTTTTGTGCTCATATAGACTTGGTTTTGTTCCTTACCACTGGCCTTTTCTGCAGGATTGTCTACGTGCTACGACAACAAACAAACATGTTAAAACGGCTAAGTGTGAGCTTGAACGGTACTTTTGTGGTTCAAGCGTCGGCTCGTGAACGGAAGGTAACGCTCACACTCGCTACTATGCTCGTGGTATTCCTATTCTGTACCATGCCCTGGTTTATCATGATGCAGATCTATGATTACTGCCAAATTTGCCAGAAATACTGGTGGATCATGAAGCTCCTGTTTATTCTCTTCGAAGCGAACTGCGCTATCAACCCGTTCTTGTGCACATTCCGTCTGCCGCGCTACAGAGCGGCGCTGCGATTGACTCTGACGCAGTGGGGGTTTTCACGTGTAATTTGTCAATCTTCGCAGCGAGCCAGGCGTGCGTATGTACTCAAGCAAAAACGCTTGAGTAATGGAAATCATTTATGTGGAAAGAAGAGTCTACAAATTCAAGTTTTGCTTTGCCGCCGGTTATGACTCACTATGAACAAAATGCTTACAAAGATTAAAACCAACCTGAAATACAATTATGAGGGTAATTTCAAACCATTAAGAAGAAGTTAATTTCGTAGTTTTTGAGCCCTCTATGTAAAAAGAAATTTAGTTATCAAATGGAAGTTAAGAGCGTTTGTGATAGGAAACAAAGTGAGATCATCATTCAGCTGTTGGTAATTTAGGTATAAAATATGCAAATGTTTTGTGATAATACAAATAATAATAATAAAAGTTACAATGTTTTTATGCGCGCATTTCAAGTCTGTGTGGGCTTTCATGTCATCAATAAAATCAATTGTCAACACAAAATATCTAAAACACGAGATTAGTAAAAACATATCAAACAATTCGCTTAGTTTAAAGAAAAAACTTCCAAATTAAAAATGTTTTTAAGGGCGGCTTTGAAAGACGAAACCGAAATAGCACTTTTAAGAGAATTGGGGAGAGTATTCCATAATGTCGGTGCATAGAAGGAAAACGCATGTGCTTCAGAGAGAGAGGTAAATAAATAAAGGCTGGCTTTTTTCAAAAGAAAGGAAAGGCGTTTATTAAATGATACTGCCCTATCCTCAGATTCAAAAATCTGCTCTATTCGGATCGAGAAGCCTGTCTCTTTGATTTGTGGACATGTTCGTCTGTAGAGTTTTCGGAACCCCAACTGACATATTTGACAGTTTCCGGGTTGAAAATAATTACTGTGGGTGACCCAAGATAGTAATTAACTTCTCCTACAAGGAAATGGTTTCAACAAAACACAAATTCAGAAATTGCAAAAAGATGTTTCCAAGGATTTCGGACAGAAATAAGCATAAAATTTAATTTTTCCTCATTAAAATAATCCCAGATCTCGACAGAGAGTCTTGTAAGCAAAATAATTCTCTAAAACCTTGAAAATAATTCTTAATCTTGGGGCTCAGGATTGATCCCAAACTTCGTAATAAAAAATCTGAACATTTTGTATTTCTATGAGTATGAGGGCAAGAACATTTTTACATGTAGAATCTATACGTTATCACCGTGAAGAAAAAAATGAGAACTGTGATAAACCAACATACAGACACGTCAGGACAAGGCTCATAGCAGTCTGACAACTTCTTTCAGGAAATTGGTAGACCTTAGTGCCATTGGAAAACAATGATATAAGAAGCTGGTAAATGGAAAAGGTAAAACTCTGTCTTGCTGCCGGAAGCACCCCCTATGTATTAAAAATGATCGAATCAAGTTGAAACCATTTCCAAGGAATCACAAAAACCTGTGAATTGGTGTTTGGAAATAACAAAGAAAATTGGCGTTACCATAAGTAATCTTTTTTTCTTCGCGCTCTCGACTTCCTGTAGGTTAGAATGATTTTAGGTAATTATTGTTACTCTCCTGAAAAAAAAACCCTCTCTGCTTTTTGAAAATTAACTTTCACTCAAATCATGAAAGTCAACGTTCCATATTTTACATAACAATTGACGACCACGACCTTAGATCGCTCATTGATTATACCAAACCTCGCCGATACTTATTCAAACAGGTATGAATTACACAAAGATTGCGCCTTTTCAGGTTTCAGTCAATAAAATAGGCGCCATTAGTTCGCCGGAACTGACAAACACCGAAACATTTTTGAAATAAGAGTTTGTTACGCAGTTGCAGTCAAACTCATTGTGCAGAATGAAATTTAAGAACAGATCTTCATTTCTGACTCAATTTAAATTCAATCCTAGTTGCATGGGCACTGTTGACTCTAAATCAGTTCATTGGAACTAGCTGTCTAGTCACGTTCGTTTTTCGTAGATGTAAAGCAAAACTGATGAGATTACCATGGATTACATTCGCTCAATTTGGCTTTTCAGGCTATGGTACAATGGCAGACTGCTTCAGAATCAATCTCCATAGTATCGAATCAGAATTTCAGGAAGAGAAAACCACATTTTCAAGCAAGAGGAGATCGTCGACTTTCATGGTCATTCGGCTTGGTTGATCAGTTAAAGTAACTTTTAATTTGAGTACGATACCTGATATTGACAAATGTTTCTTTTACTATACGTCAAATCATAGAGGAGAAAAAAAAATGGCTTTGAAGATCACTAACTGATAAATGAAAAGAGCAAGGTCAAAAAGAGGTCTGCTCAATTAGATTACAGATCGTTCCAAAGCGTAAGAAAAAGGCTATTACACTTAGTAATCCCACGGGAAAATACCAGCGTAACTTAATTTTAGTATAGGGCTCAAAATCCTCATGTGGCATAAATAACTAAGTCAGGTGAACACTCATCACACGCTATGTCCCAAACTGGTGAAAATCCCAATCTCGTTTTCTTCAAGAACCTTGAAGAGAAATTCTTCATATTTCCGTCGCTGATAGAGAGAAAAGCTAGTTAATAAACTCATCCCTTCTCATACAAAATGCTACCTTTTCATCCCTCCTGAACAGCTATATAACCACCTAAGTTTTCAAAAATACGAAAAAAAAAATTACCTTTGCCACCATCGACAAAAAAAAAATAAAGATTCTTAAAACTGATAAAGCTCTCCAGAACACAACACAAATATTCGATCAAATAAAGCCATGGTCCACGCCAGTGAGCCGCAATTCAAGCAATTGCAGAAAAGATGTCTGAAAAAATGTTCAGGCTTGGACGGGATTTGAACCCAGGCCTCCCAGGTTATAGTTGGACGCACGCTACAAACAACTGAGCCATGGGTTGGGAGCAAGACACAAATATTAGAAATACGTGCCCTGTTTTCAGCCGTCAATCCTTAAGATCGCCAGCATTGTTCAATGTTCGTGAGGGCGTCCTATGTCTAGTACATGTGGAAACCTTGAAACAGGTCATAGGGGTATGCATTCCTACTCGTCTGCAGTACCAAAACAAAAATAAACTCACTAATTTTAAGCCTTGATGAATCGATAATGGGAACGACGACTGGTACCAGGACGTGGCAAAACAAGAGATCTAAAGGGCAGACGTGCGTTTTCAAATCGAATTATATATATTCCTTAGCCGTCCTCTACAAAACAATAATAACGTTAAGTCATCAAAATTTACGGGGTTTGTGAACGGAAACCCCAACGGCAGTTATTTGAGTTACCATTTGGAACTCACATACGTTATGCTGAAGCTGAGTTGTGGGGCCATAGGAGATGGTAAACACACTCAGCCATTTGCGAAATTCTCAATAAAAATGTAAATTTGTGTTTTGATCGGCGTCTTCTCGGCGTTTCCGTCGTGACTGCTTAGAAGTCCTTTTTCTTTTAATCGAAACGTTTTCATGTATAATATGATTTTCATACATTCAAAAACATTTAAAACGCTTTCGGTAAAACAAAACTTGAACTGGAAGCCAGTCTTCCTTTTCTGCCCCCTCGGTTGCTGCAGTTGGCGTCTCGCCTTTGAAGTTGATATTCTTGCCTTGCGGGACAAGTTGACCTAAAGCAGCGACGAAAAAATTCGAATCGCAATAGGGCCAACTTTACACTTGTCTTGTAAGGAGGCATCCGCAGTGTACACAAGAACGGATTGAAAGCGCAGTTAGCTTGGAACAAAATAAACAGCAACTTCATGATCCACCAATTCTTTTTGCAAATATCACAATAGTCAAAAATCTGCATCATGATAAACCAGGGCATAGTACATACAAGGAATATCACAAGCATGAGTAATAGTGTCATGGTTATTTTACGCTCGCGTTCTGAGGCTCGAACGACGAAGATGTCATCCGAGGACCTGCTAAATCTTTTTAAGCTACTCGTCTGCTTACGCAGCAAGTACACAATGTTACAGAAAAGCACCGTTATAACCAACACGACTACATCGACATGAACACAGAAAATTTCATTCCTGAACTTTTCGCCCCACTGTCTTATACCAATGATTAGCAAGGCGCAGTAGATCCATACCATCACCACGCTTATGCACACTCTCTTTTTGGTGATTCTGTGAGGGTAATGAATGGGTCGAGATATCGCCGTGTAACGATCAAACGTTATTAGCAAAAGTAGAAGCATCGAGCAGAGGAGAAAATAAGCTGCAGCGCTTTGCAAGTCTTTTCTTCTTATGGAGTGCTGCCGCCCAAAAGCTATGGCAAGGCTGTAGTAGGCATCAGTGGGTTCCAGGAAGCCTCCCACCATGAAGTCTACTAGAGCCAGACTCGCAACAAGAAGACAGCTCGGAGAAGAACGAAGACATCTCTTTGGATCCGTCAGAAACAGAAACATTACAAGACCATTCGAGAAAGATGTAATCAACGCCATGGGTATGGCGATTATTCCTCTTGTCAAGTAAACTTTTAAAATTAACTCGGGCAGTTCTCGGTGTTTCAAAGTCGATGGTGCCTCATTTGTGGTATTTATCACCAGTGTATCCGTGCCGTTCATATCGATACGTACTTGACTCGCTTTGTTCACCTCACGCTTTATCGAAACGTTTGTTTGGTTTCCTTTTTAGCAGCACCCACTCTTGAGTGAAATTTCGAACCAATGAACTCTCCAGCTGCGAATCCTAATCAGCAACCAACATAGGTATTGAAAGATTCGAACAAGCAGAGTAGACAAACAAAGACAGACTGTTAAAACGTGCAAGTTTCAACTGTTCAGCAACATTCCAATTTCAAGGGCACGTCCTTGACGTGTCTCGAAACTCTACCCGATTGCCCTTGACCGGGTGAAAACGAATTATTCAAAGTTTTCAGCAAGGAAAGAAAACAAAACACTTAAAAATGCATTAGCGGTTATAGATAGCAGATTTATGGAACTGAAGGGCAAGTAGTTAATATTTGCGCCCAGTGTTAATTTTTATGCTGGGATTCACTGGGACAAAAAAAAGGGATCGAATGATTTAATCATTCAGGTCATAGTTGATAGACGAAGATAAAGCTGAAGACGAAATCACTCAAAAACAAGAACAAATTGACATTAGCTGTCGTGCGTTTGTTTGAGCCGTGTTATCATTTCGCTAACCTGTTAAAAATTGTTGCTGGGTCCGCTGAAACCAACACTAGTGACATTTATTCTTGTTACATCAGGTTTCGCTGAAGGTTTTAGCAAAGTATCTCGCGTATTTAGGATGTCATGTTCCTCCCATAGAAATGCCGCCGACGTGCGTCTCCTCATTGTTAACCCTTTACACCTAAACATCAGTATATGTTTTCTCCACATTGTTCTCTATACATTTCCTATGGTACTGACAAAGAGAATTTGTTTAACAATCAAGAGCGTCGTAAATTGGTGATCATTTCCTTTATTCTCATGACCTCAATGTTTGTTTTAGGTGATGCTGATAGGGAAAATAGTTAGTAATCACTCTTAAGGGTTACGTTACACTCAGTCAAAGAAAGAGCTTTCTTTGAAGTGACACAGGTTTTAAGTTAATACCAACTTACTTCGGCACAAACAAAGCAAATAGAAAAAAATAGGGTCATTTCATCGTAACCTTTTACTTATATAGAGCGAAGGGTATTTCATAGCCTTACAGGCCGGCCTTCATCATTAGCACTTCTGCGCAAGCGTTTCTTCACTCGCGGGAAATTATAAGGCCTTGAGGGCGGGGAACCGTGCGTCTCGCAGTGCCAATGCGATGATGAGGACTTATTCGCAGGCCAGGAAGTTCAACTACATAACTCGTGTACTTTACAGCTTGTGAGGTAAAGATTTTGAAGGTTACGCGCAACTGGGTAGAAGGACTGTGCTACACCCACAGTTAAGGTCCAAGATGCCGTGATAAACAGTGGAGCCTCCGCTCAAAGAAAACGAGGCTGGAAAAAAAGTGTCTGTCCGCAAATGATAACTTTTCTCTATCATAGGTCCCTCAACTATAACCCGGCATAATTTGTAATTTGTTTCTTCGGCTAGGATCCCTGCAAAGGGAGCTAGAAATCCACAATTTACACGAGCTCAGGTTACAGATCTGCACAAACGTTCGGGTTGCCGGGGCAACCTTTCTTCCAACCAGAATCCAAAAGCGTTAGCCGTAAAGATGACAAAGAAACCTTTTACAAAGTCGTTTCGACTGAATAGTGTAGAGACAAGAAAAAGCAACATGCCGTGACGTGTAGACAGGAACAACTAAACAAACACGGTAGTTTGAGCTGAGTGTAAACCACGGGGCCAGTTTAAGTTGAAAAGAAATTAACAAAATCCAACCCTACGCGTTAAGTCGTCGTATGTCCTTAACAAGGGTTACCTGGTGATGCGGTAAATCTCCCCTACGTTTTTCCCATGAGTACTTGCAAACATTTGAATAAAATAGGGTCACCATTCACGAGCTAAGTATTCCAGGGTCTTGCACGAAGGCCTTGAAGGTAACGTAGGCAATAGTTCACGAAGTTATAGCAAGGAATCTTTATCCTTCCTGACCACAGTCTTATTTTCCATGAATAGAGCTACCCCAAAATAGTTGAGATGTCCTAAATTGAAACTTTCAACCGCTAAGGACCGAGCGGAATTTATCAAAAATGATAACGGAATGTGTGAGATTCAATTGACTAGAAGGAGTATCTTATCTTGCGCAAATGTAGGATCGAAGACGAAAAAAATGCTTGAATTTAGGCATGGGTTCAATATAATGTTTTTCTTTCAAAAATCTGCAAGCACTGTTCTTCGTAACCCAGAAATGTACTGAAAACTCAACAAGTTCCTCAAACTTTCTCGGTTTTTCCTCTGTCTGTTTTTAACAATTATCGTGTACTATGCGAAAAGAAATATAGCAATATGAAATTCCATTTGCAAGTGCTTCTCTACGAGCATGACCTTACTAATAAACTGGAACACTACCACTCATTAAGATCGTGGAAGCTATGCGGAGAATGACTGGCTAAAAAAAAAAAAAAAAAAGATTGCTCGTTGAATTTGTAACTTATTTACTATTTATCGCTTCTCGTAATCCTTCAAATACTGACTGCATTCTTAAGCTTAGGGAAGAAACAAAAACTTTCACCATTTCTTTCAGCCTTAATCAAAGAATCGATAATGGTCTACGGAGATTTCACTCTGACAATTAAAAAAACAACTTATCACTGCAGAGATACAAAGCTCTTAGACCGTTATTCAGGAATAGCTAATCAATCTCCATGTCTGCGTCAGGTTTGGTTTCTTCGCCACCTTCCTGATTTTGGTGCTCATTCGGTTTCTCCACATTTTCTCCTTCCTGGTCCATTTTCTCTTCCGACGTCGAGTCTCCCGTCCCCTCTTCTTTCTTCTCTTCTTCCTTTGGGGGAGGCGGTGGTTCGGCTTTGGGTTTTGGTTTCGCTTTGTTCAAAATAGTGTAGCACGTGTCTTCTAACAGCTAAAAGAAATACACAAAGCCAAAGAGATTTTAAAGTTGTTTGTTAGGGTACATATAATTAAGGCTACAAACGAAAAACAAAAGATTCTCTCCAGTTCACCCTTAATTTCTGTGTAATGTCTGTACTCGAGCCCAGAGCCCCACACAACTGGAGCTTATCCAGGTTTCCTTAGCATGAAGCGACTAAGAGTATCACTTTACCAAATTTACCAAAATTATAATGTAAAACTAAATGAAACAAAAATCAACACTCAAGCTCAAAAAAGACGGAAATCAAGTGATGGTTACCTTTTTTTCGGAGAGTATGACCGAGGCATACACAGCCGGATCTTGATGATCAGCGAGTTTGCTCTGTGCATTCCACTTGTTCTGTAACCATTTTTCCTTCTCTGCAACAGCCACCTCCACCTTTTTTATTTCTTCTGCTTCGATATGATCGTACTTTTCATCCTGTATGTTGAAAGAAAGACGAAACTAAGAGGAAGCTCTCTGTCTTTTGGACTAGCTCACTTACGAAAACGGCTGGGATTCAAATCCTCGTTGGGAAATTAGCCTGTGATCGGGGTCTCACTGTGGCAAGTAAAGCGAAGCGACAAGAGCCTTGCAAGAATTTCTCGCGGCTACTGGAGACTACTCGTAGTAAGCTACGTGGAAAGCAGAAGTATTTTGTCCTACATCAGTGATAAGCGTGTACCATTTTCGCCAATTCTATACTACAACCTTTAGTGAAATCACTTGCCCGCCGAGAGGCGCCAATTCGAATTTTGCACAAATCGAATCAACTGATCGGCACATGCGCTTAGGCGCGTTGATCAATGGCGTGTTTTAAACTCTCACATCGATCAACCTTTCCAATTAATAAAACACAATAAATTCGGCCTAGTCAGGAGGGTGTTCGGTTGAATGGTTTCCCCTCACGTAGTCACTATGGCTTACAATCCCTAGATCATGGCCTTATTTTCACTACTGCTCAAGTAGTGCTTGTTGGCTCGGTTGGTGGAGCGTTGCACCGGTGTCGCAGAGGTCATGGGTTCGAATCCCTTACAGGCCTGAATTTTTTTCAGGCCTTATTTTCACTACTGCTCAAGTAGTGTTCATTACTGCGAAGATCGCTTTCATTCAAATCCCTAGATCATTGTTTTCCTCTGAAAACTTTACCTTCTGAGCGCAAAGCTCAAGAATTTTCCTGATTTGCTGGATACTCTTTCCAAGTTCATCAAATGCAGCTGGTCTTTTGGTAGCCTCTGATAAGCGCGTCTCTACCGGGTCTCCCACTTTCTGTACAAAATATTGAAAGCAATGAGTAATCAGTATATTGGAAGGCTAACTCTGTAATGAAAACATAGGACTCCACGACAATGAAGCTTTCCCCTTTCAACGTGTTTCACATCAACATTAAAAGACTTCTGATATTACCAGAGGTTTCAAAACTTTTTCCGTAGGCGGCTGTGCCGTGAGGCGAAACCTAAACACGCGAGCCTGCTCGGTTAACCCTTTTTCTCCATGAGAGATCACGGAAAAGAAGTGGTTAATCCCACAATTTAGTACACATTTAAAATGAAACCGACGAAGAAGGAAAAAACATCAACTAGTTCCTTGAGAAATGTTACTTTAGAATACAGTGAGGATTATTGGTACCGACATCTAACAAGTAAAAAGGTGTACTTTGTGGATCAGCTCACGAAACGGTGACCGCAGTGGGATTACTGTCCTCTCGCAAAGCAACAGAAGGTGTGCATTTCATCCTTCATAAACGGTTCATATTAGTTTACCTTCAACTCAGCGAGCTTGTCTTGGTAAACTTTCTTGGATTGGTTTTCACCCTCTTCATAGAGCCAGTCTTCTGTTAGCGACAGCAACTCCGAGAACTTCTCCCTTGCCTTCGAAGGAAAGTATCAGGAACCATCATGTACCTGCTCATTCTTGGCAGATTTTGTTTTCCTTATTTTTCCCCAGCCTACATATTATAGTTGTTGCCATGTTTTCAAAAACTTCCTTCTAAAAAATGCCCCACGAAATTTTTACGCAAGAGTGTATAATCTTCGCAGCAAATAAGAGAAGGTATCCATAAGAAAGCGCTGAATTATCAAATTGGAATCGAATACCGCAAGTAATCTAAGTGATCCGAGATTGATTTGTTTTTGCTTTATCTCGCTCTGGAAATGGGCCAGAAAACTCGCGCCACTTTCTCGACCAATCAGATGCAAAGCTTACTCGCAACTCGGTCACCCGCGCTTTAGGCAGTTTAGTTTGTTATACTTTGAGGTCTCATACGCTCATAAAGGTATTTTCCCTTCCTCTGATTGGCCGTTGTGGTTGTGATTACATTTACTTAAGGTATTGGCTTTACTGCACTCAATCGAAAAGCGCTCTGATATTGAAACAACTAAAATTATCGGAGAAATGACAATCTGGTAGTGTTCAAAACTGCATGGGTTTCTATCAACGGTAAGCAGGCCATAGTAAACCCAGGCCCAAAGCTTGTATGTGATTCAGTCATGGACTATCGGCCGCGTTGTTTTGTTTCTCTCCTCGTTCTTCAGTGTGATTCCACTTCATTGAAACACAGCATAAAAATGCTTTGAGTGCTTCCTATGTGACAGTTGAAGCATTACACAGTATGTTACCTCCTCTGTGATGTATTTCTGGAGTTTATCGTACAATCGTCCTCTCATGTCATACACGTACGATTCCACTGCATTCTTCGCAAATCCTTTCTCTTTCTCCAGCCGATCCTGCAGTACCATATGGCACTGAAACAAAGGAAACAAGCACGTCATAAAATGATAAGAAACGCCAATATTTCTGTGTAATTCGCAGAGAACTGAATAGCAGTCAAAGAAGGGAATTACTGATCCGTTCTTGGGCGTTAAAAAAGGTTTAGCTGCTTTGGCGCTTTCAAGTTTTCTTTGAGTGCATATCAAGATCTGACAAGGAAAACGTGCCCAATGGTGTGAAACTTCTCTGAATCGTAAAAATTTCCCTTCATTTGTGTCCCTATCTGTATCAAGTCAAAATAACAACAACATTTCGGTTTGTTACTTTCTCACGACTTGAAATTCACAAGGAAAACTTGATAAATACTGCTCTATCCGCGCAAAAGAGATAACATCTATATCTGACCTCTTTATCGATGGCATCCTGCAACTGGGACTTTGTCAGTCCAGGCACTTCAGTTTCCACTCTCAGTTCTACTGTTTTAACTTGTTGTTTTTTCTTTTTTGCTGGCGCGCCGTTCTCTTTCTTTCCTTTGTTGTCTTTGGCGTCTTTATCTTCATCTTCCTTGTTGCTAGAATCCCCATCTTTTGTTTCTGATGTCTGTAGAAAATTGGAATACAAATGCGTTCAATACGATGTAATGCAGCTAAACTAGTGTACACTTTAATTGCATATTGTTCGTTTTAAATCAAAACTACCTCCGAGTTCATCGGCTCGTCGGCATCTTCTTTGTCTTGTGATTCATTAGATTCCTGTGTCCCTTGGGTGTTCTAGGATAAAAGTTATTCCCATGAAGATTAACAGTAATGCACGTCCTTCGTCAGAGGACAGTTCTAAGCCCTAGGGCTTGACATAACGGCCCGCAAAAAGTCAAATCTTTGGATAACCAACATTTTATCTGGTCTAGAGGGGAGGGGAATTTTGTAGAGACGTGACGTACTGGATATTTGTCGCGCCAAAAATGGATCGCCTCGCCCCCTCCCGTCTCCTTCTTTTTGACCTTTGCTCATCACATTGGTCCAAAATTTTTTCTCTCCCCAGTCTTCCGCTGCTGTTAAAATCAAAGACGGCAGCTGTAATTTTCACCACGAAAATACTGAGCTCTGGCTCGCCAAAATTACACCTGTCCTGAAGGCTATTAGCCTCGAGAACAGGCAAAATCTTCATCAGTGTGGCATGTTAAATGTACAACACAGTGCAGTTACCCTTAAACAGCTGAAGTCTGATCTTGAACCCTGCAAATTACCCAGTGATGCAAGGAACGACGACCGTTGACGCCTTACCTCGGGCGCGGCATCCCCAGCTGCTTCTTTTGTCTTATCTTCTTGTCCCTCAACTTCCATTGACTCCGCTTCTGGCTCAGCGACTGCAGGTAGTTTTTCTACCAAACTTGCATTGACCACATTAAGTATACCATGGATATTCAAACGAACTTTTACTTTGATTTTTGATGATTCTCCTTCTTTATTGGGAACAACGTCTTTGATCGAGAACCGACCTAAATGAGGAAATATGCTTAGAAGAACTTCCATCTGTTTCTGTTTTTTTTTTTTTTTTTTTTCCCCCATGGCAATGTCTTATTTTGTTGTCGATTCGTAACTGAAACTTTAGTTTTTTTCTTTGCTTCAAAAATACATCCCAGGGCTGGGACAACGTTCTGATTAACCTTTTACATCCGCCATCTGTATGCATAATCTCAATACTTTTCTCTATACATTTCTGATGGTGCAGACATGAGAATTTGTTTAACAATCAAGAGCTTCTTTAACAGATGATCATTTCCTTCCTTGGGGTCCTTGGTTTCTCAAAAGAAACCTCAGAGTGAGAAAATACCTCAAGTTGATGAATTTTATTTAAGCCCAGAATATCCTTTATGACCCAGAAAGTTTTCACTAGAACACCATAACCGAAACACCCCATTGAAATTTTTTGTCAACAACACTTACCAATGAAACCATCTTTTAGCGGTAGCTGTGTATTTTTCGAGTAGCTAGCTTCTAAATCAAATGGTTCTTTTCGATAAAATGTCAGCATCTTTGAGAAAGGGAAAGCATGGTTAGGAGCAAACACCTCCATCTCCCTACACAATAAAAATGCAATAAAATAATACACTCAACATAATTATCAATAATCACACACATGCTACATATTATCATTACAGATCAATGTCAGTATCTACGCACCTGCACACCCACCCCTCCCCTGACAAAACATTAAACCTAACTTATAGTCCGTTGATTGTTGTTGGATTACGGGAGGGGTAGGTGCTAGGTAAAATAACATGCTGAGGTTGAAGTGATTTTCAGTGAAGTGTTGAAGATAATCAGGCTCTGCCTTAGTTTTGCTCATTTAACATTTTTAAACCAAACACGAGTTAACAAAACAAAAACAAGACAAAAAAATCAAACAAACAAACAAACAAAAACAAAAAATAAACCCAGATATTTCCACACCAAGGGCAGTCTGATTGTTCTTACTAAATAAAATTTTTTTTTTTTGCTTTCATTATGACGGGCCGTTGTCACCATCAGAAGCCTATAACCCAGAAGCATTTATGCATGTCTGAAAGCTGGGTTTACCAGAGGCAGAGACCTACCCAATCAAAATTTACAGATCCATGGGCCAGTGAACCAATCATAACACAGTTCTACACTTCTGTCATTTATTTAATTTTTTAATTTATTTTTTCACTCAATCAAAAAGAGCTTTTGCTTATAATGGCTAAGTATAGAACATGAACCATACACTGAAAAACATTGAACTTATTGGAAAAGGAGCTGCATGATGTTTCATTTCCTGTGTTTTAATTGCTTCACTGGCTCATGGAATCATCTCCGTACATATACTGTAGATGAACATGTAAATGTCACATTACATTTTGAGGTTACATAAGATTTTCACATACATGTATATCTGTATAGTTTTTTTTAAATTATCAAAAACTTAGATTAGTCTAGTTCATAAACAATTAAGGCTGGTTTTCCAACTGTTTGAAATAAAAAAATTGTGACACAAAGAATCTCACAATTTTCTGGCAGCCCCAGAACTTGCCACTTCATGAAAATGGAAATCATATAAAAGAGGACAAATATTGAAGGCTTTTGGTTTTATTGGTAACAACCAATAAGTTTTTTTTTAATTTTTGGAGACACAGCAATATTTTAGCTCTTGAAGCAAATTCTCGATATCTTGACTCTGGTTCAACAAAATACAAAACTAGGAAAAATGTAAACAAAAACTTCAGTCTGTAACTTTCTAGATATATGAGCACCAAAAAAAATTTTGAGAGTGGAATTTTTCCAACAAAATTGCACCAGCCTTTAGAATAAGTAATAAAGCAATTTACATACCCTTCATCCTCAGTGTTCTGTGACTTCCAGGTTAGGACAACTGGATATGGTGTTACATCATTGACAACAAATTCTCGCACTCTGAAGGTTGGGGATAACATGGCACACTGCAGAGCACAGCCGCGAGCCACAGCTTCATCAGCATTCAGAGTGGTACTGACTTCTTTATCGAAGAGTGCCTTTATCACATCTTTGACAGCAGGAATACGAGTACTGCCACCAACAACTTCAATGGCCTCTACATCAGCCATCTTGAGCCCTGCAATTAAATTTTTGAACATGATCATGAATTTGACCTTGTGCAACATCTTTAAAGTTTCAGCATGACTTGAATCCCACTTTCTGATTTTCAGGCAAATTACATATAGGTGACTCTTGTCAGCCAACTTAAGGACTTCAGGTCCCAGTTGTTCAAAGGGTGGTTATCCCTTTAACTCCCAAGATCTCATTAGTTATTCTCCCTACTGTCTGCCATACAATTCATATGATTCTAATTTGGAGAATTTGGTATTGGATCAACCAATAATCCCCTAATTGATATTTTTCTTTATTCTCATTACTTGTCTGCTTGATATTGTACTGATAGTGTAAGGAGAAATTCTCTCTTGGTCACTAGTGGGACTTAAAGGGTTAACGCTATCCACTTGATAAATTGCTATCTGGTGGATAGCACAACATGTTTTGTTACCACTTATCTGCTGGATAACATTATAACCATTGGGTACCATTATCAGCCCTTCGAACAACTGGGTCCAGAAGAAACAAGCTCACAAAGATTGTCATAAAACTCTTATAAGCCTAAAGTTGCTGACAACTGTTGAAGCTTATCCCAGTTTCAGGAATGTCCAATAAATTCTCCAGCTATTGGCTTTTTCACAACTTGGTCACTGTAAGTATAGTGAATACACATGCACCTTGACTTCTTTCCATTTCTTAGAAATAAGACCTCCCTACATGTACAATCAACCAGACTGAACCAAATTTGGTACTCATAAAATTGAAAAGTTCCAAAACACTTGCATTCAAATGTCAAATCTCTTGCGAGAAGTACTAAAATTCATAACTTTGTTACTAAAGAGACCATAGATAGAATAATAAATCATAATCTACCCATGTTACTAGTACCTGATTTTTCCATCAGTGATTTCAGGGTAGCTTCTAATCTTTGTAAGTAGCTAGAAATATTTTCTTCAAAGGTTGTTCTATAAGAGAGGAAGACACAGTTCACTACCTAATTGAAATAACTTACGTAACATGTTTAAAGGCCACAGCATATCAAATACCATGACATTCAGGGTATTCTAAAGTGCAATTAGAGAGCTTCCCAGAGATTAACTTTTTCCTTACACCACTAACATACTGTACAAGAAGATAAATGAATAGAGAGGGTAAATTTCTGAAGAAACTTTGGTGCTGCATCGGTGGGAGAGTATAACAGGGTAATTTAGTATTATCAACTGAGTTGATAATACTAATCAGTTTGATTTGATCACCACTGATTTTATGTGTTGGTTTGCATATCTGGAACAGCAAGACAAAGAGAGAAAGAGAGAAAGAGAAAGACAGGAGATACAGGCATTTTTTTTGTTTCAAGGATGGACCAAAGATGAATTAATTTTTCAGGTTCTTCTCTTCTTTTTATCTGGTGGTTGCCAATTGGCAACTTTCACCAAAATGTTTGCTGCAAAATATATTTTCATTTGCCATGGCGACCAAAACAGTCACAACTTGGAGCTCCGTATTACACTGCTTACTCTCTAAAGATAATTTAGTATAAAATAATTCAAATAGTATATGTGCTCTGATTGATCATAAAACCATTTTACATGAGCGTATGTAAACACGGTTTTCATTCCTCTTTCATTAGTTATTTTATAAAAGAAATGTAAAATGGTTTCCGTGTTTACATAGCCTGATGTAAACACTTGGGAGGTTGGGAGAACACGAGATAAGCTGGAAACCACTCCGCTTTGCATCCTGGTTTCCTACGCTTATCTCGTGTTCTCCCAACCTCCTGTGTGTTTACATCAGGCTATGTAAACATGGAAACCATTTTACATTTCTTCAGTATAAACAACTGAGTTGAAAATGTAAATTGACTACCACAAAGAGTTTAAAGGCTGATATTTTGAGCATTAGCCCTTCATTGCTCTGATGAGTGTCGTTCTGAGGCGCACAGCCCTCAACTGAACAACAACAAACACGTCAGCATTCTTGTACAACTAACTAACTGCATTATCTCTGGTTTATATACTGAACAAATAAAATAAATTTTCATGATTCTAAGAATCTCTAAGAATTCTAAGAATACCTCTTAAATCTTCCTGCAACATCCTTATCATCCATTAGACACTCAATATTCAAGGGAATCTCTTGGGAGTTCGCACTCATTAGCTTCTTCAACTTTTCACATTCTCGAAGAAGACGGATACAAGCTTTGGCATTTGTGGATACATCTAATTTGTACTTTATCTGTATAGAGAGAATATTGTTCCTTGTGATCCTTTTATAACCATTCAAAGCTTATAGAGCCACACAATCAATTCTAGGTAATATGTAAATGTACCCTAAGCACACTCAGGTACGATTATATTAGTATTAATTTTAGATGAACATAAAAGGCTACATGCCAGGAATACCATAATTACTGTTTGAACAAATTACAAATCTCAGGAGGTGCCATCAACAACATCTCAATCTAATTAAAATTACCATAATTTCCAGCCGTTTACCCGCGGGTAATCTGTTGATTTTGCATTAAATGCGCACCACTGCGGGTAATAAGGAAGTGCAGGTTATGTGACAATTTTAAAATATACTGGTAGTTGAATTGAAAAAAATTCTCACCTACATGCATTTCCACCTCTCAAATGAATTTTATTGCATTAAGAGTGCCACAAAGCAGTACAGAAACATGATGCCAACTCGAGTCTATTTCACTTATAATTAGCATGATGAACAAATTGTTATCGGCGTGCATGAAAACAAGATCTTGATGGTGACAAAAATAATCCAAAGATATCCGGCGCATCAGTAACAAATTTCCATTTAACACTAGCTTGAGTTAAAGAGAATTTTCCCATTTTAAGGGAATTGTTAGGCCCATTAGAACTGGAGAAATCAATTTTTTCCAGAAATTGCCGACAGTACTTTATAATCCAAGTTAACATTCACCCAGCTTTCTTTCAACAAATCAACATGGCACGGAATGATTGCTCACACAAAATGTGGCCACAAATTCGCATTCTGTCAAGTATGAAAGGTTGAGATTTGGGCATGGGCCACTAGTTTTTTCACTGTATAATTTTATCAATAAAGTACGTGCTAATATTGACACAGAATTGTGCACGTGTCTGAATTTCTTTGACCTTGAAACTCGACAAAGAAGCTTTCAAGTTTTCAAAAGTTAGATCAGACAACTTTAAAAAGACTGAAATGTATCACCTTAATGTCACCTTTTTGCCACCAAAAAGTTGAATAACATAATGTGCAGGTTATCCACCAGTGCGGGTAATCTGATGACTTTTTTTTTTGCAGTATACAATAATCGGCCAGTGTAGGAAATTGGTCATGTGAGTAAACAACCAGAAATTACGGTACTCTGATAAAGATCATTGTATTACCTTGAACTCTTCCACAAAGTGATCTTTCAAAAGTTCATCAAAATTTCTACCCCCCAAGTTTGGATCAGCAGCTGTGGCAAGCACCTGTAGGAATTTAAAAATAAGAGTTTTCATCAAGACAGATAAAACCAATACTTTTTACATGCAAATGCACTTTTAAGTGGGTTGTACTGTAAAGTCCCCGTCCACACATAAGGTTGATGTCATCACACATTAAGGAGTAAGAGCCAGAATCCTTTGTACCAAGATGAAACAAACCTTGAGCTGTCCTTTCAAGAATGCACAGGCAGAAACCTGAACTGAGGAGTGACCCATATCAACAAACACCACATTTCTAGGTTTATCAGTTGGTAGATCCTGTTTATAGATACCATAAGCCAGGGCAACTGGAAAAAAAAGAAAAAAGGAAGAAAAGTTGTAGCAAGTGGATAGAGGGGTTAGAGTTAGATGATAAATACTAAATTTCACTTCCCCATATCCTCACATTTATCATTGTACAAAATTCACATGGATCAGGAACTGATTACCCCTGAGAACGTGTGTGTATATTCAATAAATTCTCCCAATGAATGTTAAAAGAAAATATTTAGAGACCAACCAGGATAATTTAGCTTTTCCTGATTTGAAATTTACCTGCCGTGGTGTCATTCATGAGTCTGAGGCAGTTCAGTCCAGCCATAGCGACTGAGTCCACCATTGCTCTCCTTTGTCTGTCTGTATAATAGCAGGGAACCTGACAAAAATAAATCTTTTAACTACTGCTGTAGGTTACTGACTTTTTATCCTTAATTACAAATGTGCCAACCAATAGGTGTGTGGCAGCAGTGAATACTACAAGGCATTTCAGAGAAATTCTCTTCTGCTGATTTCAGCAAAATACTTTTAATAACAACTCTCTCTGTGTGCCCTTTGAGGACAGAACAACAGAACAATAAACTGCCACTGACTAGAGCTCACTACAAGTTTCTGGATACTTAACCCTTTCACTTCCAAGATGTGATTGTTAATTCTCCCTTCTAGCTGCTACACATTTCCTTTTAAATAAGTCACGAGAATTTGGTGTTCAATCAAGAAAACAACCTCTACTTGATCAGCTTAAGTATTCTAATTACCTCTTTGGTAGACAATGAAAGGATCTTATAGGGAGAAGTTATATGTCAATCACTTCTGGGAGTTTAAGGGTTAACCCCTTCACTCCCAAGATCTCAGAGCAATTCTCATCACTGTCTGCAGTACAATTCTTATAATACTGTTTCAGAAGATTTGATATTGGATAAACAAATTATCCCCTAATTTATAATTTCCTCTAATCTCATTATTTCTCTCTTAACCCTTTAACTCCCAAGCTCTCATTAGTAATTCTCTTAACTGTCTGCTATACAGTTCTTGTGATGTTAGTTTGGAGAAATTGGTATTGGATCAACTTATAATCCCCTAACCTATACTTTTCTTCATTCTCGTCACTTGTCTGCTTGATATTCTATTGATATTGTAAGGAGAAATTCTGTCTTGGTCACTCATGGGAGTTAAAGGGTTAATATTACACTGATATTGTGAGGAGAAATTATGTGCTGGTCAGTCATGATGGTTTAAGGGTTAATACAATCTCTAGGTCATGGAGTTTACATTTAAACTAATTTTTTCAAGTTAGTCATTTGCAGTTCTTAATACTAATGTGCTCTGTTCCCTGTCATGTTTCTGACATCTAGTATGATTATCTTTCATTTTCATTTTTTATCTATAAAAAACAAAAAATTTGAAGTCTGATGAGTTAGAAGTGGTTTAGCAAGGAGTAAAACATGACTACAAGTATTGTGGCTTGTACAAACCCTATTAGTTCTACAAACTCACATGTAAAGTGAATGAAAGCTAGTCACTTATGACACCCAAGTAAAAAACTTCTAAATGTTTCAGTGCCATTCTTTATTTCAATTTCATTTTACTTGTTCGCAAATGCACTATGATGTAATATTTTTTGTTAAATCTTAGTTTTACAAAGCAAAAAATTTAGAACAACATAAGTACTCACAGAAACAACACAGTCTGTAACTTTAGTGGATAATTCTTTCTCAGAAATAGTCTTCAGTTTTGTCAGGAGCATGGCCATAATCTGTTCCGGTGAAAACACTTCCTCATTCCCCAGATAACGTAACTGCAACAAGAAGAAACAATTCAGGAATTCCTGTTTTCTGAGAATTTCATTTCCAAGAAATGTTTTCCTTAGATAAGTTTTCAGTTGTTCTTAAATAATTTTATGAAATTAAGAGTAACATGGAAAGTAGTGTTCCAGAGTTGAAAGTACAAAATATCTGAATGCAACATTGATCCACATAACTGCATTAAATAGTATAGTTATTCAAATGAGAATACAATAATCACGGCACAAACCAATCTATCAGAAAACAATTTCTTGCAAAGATATTGGCGCTATTCCAGGCACAACTTGGAACAATCGAAATTGCTGCTGTTGCTGTATAACCTAAATATCTAAAATATTCTATACACAAGCTAAATCTACAAGAATCTTACACATGTGTATTGCGTGTGGAATATCACATGCATACATTGATTGAAAACCTCATTATCATAAGGAAAAAGTTAATCCTCTTAAAGATATAGGAAAAACATACCCTTTCCACAATTGTGAAGCAAAAGTTTAATTCCTTACCAGTGAACATCTCAAATGCGAAAAGGAATTTTTTCGAGGTTTGAATCTTACCTTTACGCCAATGCAATCTCCCGGGTTTTCTACAAGCTGGCAAGGCAGTCTTCTCTTTTCATCTTCGACTACAGGATCACTGAATTTCCTGCCGATAAGCCGCTTGAACTGGCTCACAGTATTTTTCAAATTGAATATCATCTGTTAATTCATATGGATATCGTGAGTATAAAAAGATATCACGATTTCTTCGTTTAAAAAAGACAGAATCGGTACATTTCAACTTTAGGAAAACTTGGTTTCACCAAACGATTCACTAACGAAACAGAAAAATTACAACTTTCAGCTTTACCTGATTTTTACCTTCAACTCCAATACTCCTCAAGGACTCCCCAAGCGATACCACACTCCTATAGGGCATAAAAAAGTCCGCAAGTCTTCACCCAAAATTTTGATTCGTACAAAGGTTAATCAAGTTCAGTTCACACAATGCTTCAACAAACTCTCACACTTCAAGAGCAGGGAGTGAATTGATCACACGGTTTGTAAGTAAATTTCGAATAAAAATCAGTAATATTTCGATACTTCGGGTGCGTAAGGAAAAAGGGACTATTGCATAGATTTCTTCAATGATTTATAAGCATTATATAACTTACGGAGTGCATCTGTCGCTAAACTCGTTCGCGATAGTCTCGATGCCTCCCCCACGAGCCACGGCAATATAACATGACTCATTTCCAACATCAAACCCTACAACAGACATCTTTCCCCTGTAGATTGATAGTAAAGACCTATAGAGTAAAAAATTCACTCGATGAACCCAACTGGGTCACAACTCTTGAGTGAAACGAAATTCACGTGGCCGTTTACGAAGATAGTGAGCCGGTTGTCACCAGTCAGCCATGACATGCCATAAAAGGTAACATGACGTCAGGTTCCTACCCAGCTCTTTGCTTCCTTGCAGAATTTTCTGGAATATGTAGATTTTCAGCTGTACGTGCACTGCCTGGAAAAACCGGAAGTCTTAAATCAAAGATCAAGTGTGCGTTCCTTTCGGTTTAAAATGCTTCAAGAAAAATGCCTCTCGAACTTGGCCATTCGTTGAGGTGGCAAATATTTATCTTACTTTGTACATATGTATACCTCAAGTACCGGAAATACCAATCAACTGATTCCAAAATATTATTTTCAGTGAACTCAATAAATTTCCGAAATAATCGGAGAAGATACAAAATCTCAGAATGTTACGGTTAAATAGCTTTGAGAAGGGTTACTCGCAGGCCAAGAATGGAAGAGTTGAAGGGATATGATTCAAACAGTTGTACGGTGTAACATAGTTATCAACTCACCCCTAAGGTACGTAGTACCACATAGAGTACAACAGTCCACGCTGGTCTTGCTTTGTAGTCAGACACGCACTGTGACAGCGGATTGTTTAAAACTGTTAACTTACACAGTTAATGGAAGTTGCATTTATATAATTTCAGATACAAATTCTAGAACCTTTCAAGACGACCTCATTATAGAAATATTACACAATTTAGTTATTCCTGGTGACTTACACTACTTTCTAAAATAAGCAAGGGCTACAGAACGAAAAGTCTGTAGGAATCAAGTTTCAAACTGCTCTAGAAGCTTATGGAAATTTCTAGTCTGCACAGTCAAGAAGGTCAAAATTTTGCAGCACAGAACGACCCAGAAAGTTCATTAAAAATTTTAGAAAAATAGGAAAAAAAGAAAAAGAGATTTCAGAAATTGAAAGCTGTCACCGGAAATGAGATTCAAAATCCGTTCAATCTCATCACGAAGCCCTACGCCTCCCCAAGGACCTGAGGGTTCTGGGGACGAGAATATTGAAAAAGCCGAAAGAACCCTGAACACGAGTTCTCAATTTATAGTATTATCCTTTCTCTCAGCGAAAATTTAGTTGGTGATGTTGATGGCTAATGACAGCGAACAAGGCCTAATGACGGTGACTGATGTCTTGTGACGGCGAGTGATGTTCACTGACGGTTATTAATATGCAGCAAATCTGAAGAATCGTCAAGCTGTAAATCTTTTCAAGCGTTAGATACTCCATTTCCAGTTTTTAATCCATGAATATAGGACCACCGACATTCTGGGTAGAACAACGGTAAAAGCCAGCCCGCGTAAAACGAACCGGAATTCGTGGAGGGTCCAACATAGGTTTTGCGGAATGCGGGATGCGGGAAGCGAGATGAGGCTTAAAATCGAGGCGGGATGAGGGATACCAGATTTTTTAAAGCTGAGATGCGAGATGTAAAATATGTTTTATGACAGCATCTACAAAACTTAGAATGTTCAGAAACGGGCGTGCAAGCATCTGTCGTTGTTTGGGACGAATCTAAGACATTCGCGAAATCAATCATCTTCTCTCCTTTCAAATAAATCGTTGTGATATCATCTCTTTATTTTTATTACTCGGGCTTCCCTAGTTATAAATTGGGCAAAACGTAGCCAAGTCCTCATCACGCATGCGCAACCTTTTGACTTTGACGTATGCGCGACTTTTGACTGATGAGCACATGGTGTAGTGGTGGACGAAGAGGAGCTTTGGCGGTGCAAAATCAGACATAAAACAGTTACAGGATAAACTAATAACTGCACAAAAAAAACTTAGGCACATAGAAAAAAACAAAGTTTCTTTCCAACAGAAAGCCCGAGTGAACGCAAATATGCGTCTAGTTACGTAATCTTCTAGTTCAAAATGGTTGCACATTTGCCAGAGCTGTTAACAACTCGCAATAGATTTCTATTCCGTGCAGAAAAACTTTCTCGTTGAGGAATTCATCATGGTCATGGAGAAGAATCGGTGTGTTGTTCATTGGCGAGAAACCGATTGCGGGAAGACCCAGCTGTGAAGATGGAAAACACATTAAAAAAAATTATTAAGTAGGGCAACTGAAGTGTACCTACAGTGTCAGTTTAAATGTCAGAAGATGAGTCAATACGAAAGTCGATGTCATGTCAAAACGGTCAAAGTCGCTTTCACTCAGCGTCGTTATCAATGTAGAAGTCAAAGGCGACATCAGTAAATGTCATTGTTGATGAAGACAATGAAGAAATTAGCCCTTTACGCTGAAACATCAGTATGCATTTTCTCCAAACTACTCTTCATACATTTCCTCTGGTGCTGACAAGGAGAATTTCTTTGACAACCAAGTGCTTCTTTAATCGGCAATCATTTCCTTTATTTTCGTGACCTTAATGTTTGATTCGGGGGTGAAGAGAAATTAGATGCTAGTCACTTTTGGGGGTTATGGTATCAAAGTTAGCTGAACGTTTCATAACAAAAAAAACGTTCAGGGAAAAAAAGTATCAAAGTTTGGTGATACAATTTCTTAATTAGTCAATAAGAGTAGATAAACGTTCTTCTTAACCCTTTCACGCCTAAGAGAGACTAACAGCTAATTTCTCCTTACAATATCTCCTCTGAGTTACACATAAAGGTCACAAGAATGAAGGAAATGATCACCAACTAAAGAGGGTCTTGATTGTTAAACAAATTCTCCTTATCAGCACCTTAAGAAATGTACGATTAACAGTATGGAGAAAATGCATACTGATATTGTGGTGAAAAGGGTTCAGTATTTCTTGCTGGTTAAAGGACTGTACCTTGCGTAAAAAACGGCTATCAGTTCCAGCAGGGAAAATCTCTTTCTCTATTTTCATGTTCCTGAGAAAGAAAATAAGCAAACAAAATTAAATAAGAAATTGAGATATGGTATACATTTCCGGACCGGTCGATCTAAAAACCAGCGGAGTAACGCAAAGGCCAGCGAGTATATCACTGAGAGCAAATGTTTTTCTTATTCTCTTCTGGAATTGGTTGCAAAAGTTTTCGTTCCTTTACTTTTTATTTGCCAAGGAAAATTTTATGAGAAGATTTATTGATTGAGTCCTTTAACAAAACAACATAAGGCAAGGTTGAAAACTGACATTTTCTTGCAAGTGGTACTGAAGGCTTTCCACCAAGGGTCATCTTCAGTAGTCGGTGTCAAATTGTAGTTATTTGCTTTCTGAAAGAAGAAAGAACAGAAACATTTAACAATACAAATGTTAGATTTAGTAAATAATATAACGTACGTTTTATGCTTCTTCTACAGTAACATAGGGCATAACCAGAAAAGAGGGGAAGGATCCTTCCATCGCATCTCTTTGGTACCTAGATGTGACTGTTTATTACCAAATGCTTTTAAGTTATTGGAAAAGGACCCCCACCACCCCACCCCTCCTGAGAGAAGTGACCAGTGACCTTGCTATACTATAACAGGGTTCCTCGGAGCCTTGTACCTGTAAAAATTCATATGATACATCTTCTCCTGCTTCATTACACCACAGCTTTATTTTGTTCTCAAGTTCCTACAAGACAGATAAAAAATCATCAATGGAATTACAACAACACAGTTTACAAGCAATAAATTGATACCACAATGAGATGAACTGTACTATACCACAAAGTCCATTGTTGGGGTGACTCTGATGTCAAACACTGTTAGAGGAAGACAAAAATTGGACATTAATACAATAAACTTGTTCAAAACGGGGCTTAATTGAAAGAGATTATTCTTGCCATGTCTCATAGGAGGTGAGAACTCAAAGTTGTCAGCTTTGAGGGAAGGAAAATTTATGCGATCCAGACACAGGTTTATTTCAGGGTAATTTAGTATTATCAACTGAGTTGATAACGTAAATTGGCCACCATAAAGAGTTTCAAAGCTGACATTTTGAGTGATTCATTAACCCTTTACACCCTTACATCAGTATGCAAGTTCTCCCAACTGTCCTCTACAGATTTCCTATGGTACTACTTAGGAGAATTTGTCTAACAATCAAGAACTTCTTGGGATTCTGATCATATCTTTTATTCTCATGTTTGATTACCAGTAAAGGAGTGGTACTGTTGAGAGAAATTAGATGCTTATCACTCCTAGAGTGTTGAGGGTTAGTTCAACTTTACCTGCAGACATTTCTGCTGGAATGACGTTAGCTTGCACTCCACCCTTGAAAAAGCAATGCATACATTTTGCTTATTGTAATTTTCAACTGATATTACCACATTGCAGGGAAATCAAGTTACTTTTAAACAACAAATAGATGTGCATGCCAACAGCAAGAATAAGGAGGGGGATAAATCAGCCACATTCTAGGAAAGTTGTGCAAAACTTCTCCAGTCTTCTCTCTTTTTTTGGTTCATTCTTGCCACTCTGGTGCCTCTCCACCCTGGTAAACTTTTAATTCAAATTTAGAATTCCTAACCCCCTCCCCCCTTCTTGAAAATGAAGAAACAACAATATTGCTACGCAGCTCCCTTCCAAAATTAAAAAAAAAAATGAGAAGGTCCAAAACACTCACCTCAGTGATTGTCCAGTTCACTGTAGTTACATCACCAAGCTTCAGATCAGGATTGGAGTTCAATCTGAGCAAATTTTAGATAGTTTTAACTCACTTTCAACTCCCCAGACAACTAACTCAGGTAAACAATTAACTTAGATCATCATTTGAAACTATTACGTGATGTCAAGCATGCAAAATTTGAATACCAAGTAGTAATGAAGCAAAATTTTCAGTTTTTAATTAATACTTCTCCCAGAGGTGACAATGTATTGAAAAGTTACACCATACTCACACCTCAGTTTAACCCTTTAACTCTCACAAGTGACCAAGACGGAATTTCTCCTTACAATATCAATACAATGTCAATTAGATAAGTGATAAGAATAAAGAAAAATATCAATTTGGAGATAATAAGTTGATCCAATACTAAATTCTCTGAACTAACATTATAAGAATTGTATGGTTGACATTAAGGAGAATTACAAATTTGATCTGGGAGTTAAAGGGTTAAACATCCCTAATACATCTGTTTTTTGATACTAAGATCATCTAGGGACACTACTCATAGGCATTTTTTAAGGATAGTTCTTAATCAGTCACAAATAGTAAATGGAGGCCACCTCCATTTGAAACAAAAAGCAATTAGTAATAAATAAAATGCTTGCTTACTAATTAAGTTGATATCTGGGTGAGATTTGAATTTTCATACCTTTTCTTCTGTTCTTCTCTGAAAGACATAAAGGACTGTACAATCTTGCACTGTAATTCAAAATAGAAACCCAAATGTAATTTATGGGTTCAGTTGTTTGGTTTGATTTCTTGAAGCTACTGTTTTCAAAAATCCAATACTAAATGAATACAACAAAAACAACCAAGACACCAATAATTAAAAGCCCTAAAATTAAAAGTAGAGAATATTCATTGTATTGTAAAATTTATTCAAATTTTCAAGGTTGGAGTACCAACCTGTGTGCAAAGAGGATGACAATCGATAACTGGATGCTCATTTACATACTAAGCAGGCTGGGGTGCAATCAGAAAGGAAATATCCAATAGGATAAATGAAACCTTTCCTTTAAAAACATTTCTTGTCAATTGAAAGACCCACCATCTTCTCTCCAACGGTGTCCTCCACAAATCTGGAACCATGACCAGGAGGACCTTTGCAAATAACTTTCAACCCTGTTTTGTGTAACAAAATTAATTATTCAATATTGAGTAATCATTATTATCTGTGCTGAAAATGAAAAGTTATACAGTGAGTGTGAGTCTTTAGTCTGGAGTGTGCTTGATTCAGGATGAAATTGGCTTGCATAGCATTCTTTATTTGTTTATTCATTTCTATTTTAGCCAACAGGAGAGGCTGGAGCCTTTTGGTAATCACTGACATGCAGTAATGCAAAGACATGCACTAAATCCAACATAATTAAGAAGACAAAAAGGAAGCAAGAGTCTCCTGCTGAGCTCAGATATTCTATAGTACACTGTTCTTCACTCCTCTTCTCTAAATCTTTGGTTTGCATTCACCCCTTTTCTTCCTCTGACTTAACTCAGCTTAGATGATAAGACTGCAATGCAGACTGGATGGGATAAGATACTACCTTCTGGGAAAATCCAATGTAAGCAAACTGTCAGGACTTTTATTCGATCATTAAATAAAAGTCATGATAATTACTTTCACATATTTAATTTATTTATTAAATTATTTCAATGGATAACTATGTGTCATTATCACTACTACACCATAAATATACAATTACAAATAGAAAAGACACTTACACCAAACAGATCTTTCCCCATAAAATACTGTGAATGCATCTGTTGGGTTTGCAAGCCCTAAGAGCAAAATCAAATAACTAGATTACAAAATGGAAATTATTGCTGAAATTTGATTAAAATTCTATAGCATGCAGCTACTGAAGCAAAGATATTAAACACTAACTGGATTTTGCATACCTTCATCCAAAGCAAAACCAACATTGAGAGATTTAAAATCATCCATTTCCACAAATTTTTTCATTCCATCTACTCCACCAATCTCCTCATCTAAATAATTAGCAAAGCAAAAGTGAGGGGAAAAGAGTAAATTTTTAAAATGTTATACAGATTCATCACTTGCTTTAATAAAACGTGTGTAATGGAAATAAAAAAAAAGGATTTACCTGGAACAAATGTGACATGAATTGTTCTATGTGGGGTAAACTGCTGTGATTGGAGCTTTCTTATTGCTTCAATGTACCTATTATTAAAAAACAAACAAACACACAAACAAATAGGTATCTTATTACGTGGAAGGCTTCTTTAAATTAAGAAGCCTGTGACTTAATGATTGTTTGATTATGGTGATGTCCATTTTGTGTTAACCCTTTGACTCCCAGAAGTGATTAACATGTAACATCTTCCTATAATATCCATACATTATCTGGGGAAACAGGTTGTGAGAAAACTCAAACTTATCAGGAACAGGATATTACCTTGATCAAACACCAAATTCTCATAACCAATTTACAAGGAAATGTGTAGTAGCTAGAGGGGAGAATTGACAATCAGATCTTGAGAGTTAAAGGGTTAAGGTCTCTTTAAACCTCACTTCTGCAACATGAAAGTCAATTTTTGGCACACTTGTCACATAATACTCATCGCAAAAAATAATCTCTGCTATAACCAAAATGCATGGTTTATTTTTGTATTAGCAGCATATCACAGTGCATTAGTATAGTATAGATAGTAGTAGACTAGTATTAGTATAGATTGACCCAAAAAACAGGTTCCACAGAGTTGGGGTATCATAATAAAACCATGAAAAAAAACCATTTTATGCCCTGATTGACCACTTAGTGAACAAAAACTTGCTAAAAAATACTATTAACATTGATTTTGGGAGATAAACATGGATGAAATTTTACTTGAAAGATGATTCTTAGTTTTATTTGGATGTTTCCAAAGCGACCATTCAATACAGGTGAAAACCACTTAATAGATGTAAAAGTTACACTTATTGTAATAAAGGGTTGAAAAATTTGTGACCTTGGAAAGTGATTGCTTAATACAGGGTGATCATGTAATGCAGTGTCACTTGATACAGGTTTAACTGTATTCACTCACTTCTCAGGTAAGATACAACAATCAAACAATGTACACAAACAATTTTCATTTACTTACTGGATGCCAACACATTTCATATCCTGGGAAAAAAGAGAAGACAAAATTGAGTTTTTACTTGTTTTATATAACACAATTATAATTACTGTAGATCATTTTAGTTATGCATTAACAACAATCCATGATTCCAAACCTGACTTCCACGGGCAAAAATATCACCATTTTCAGTCTTGTGGGCAGAGAAGGGATCGTATGTCCAGTGTTCCTGTGATAAGATAAATAAAATGATAAATTTACTGAAAGTGGTGAGTTCTGGCCCCTTTTATTACTTTTCCTATTTCTTCTGCCAATTACAAGAATATGTACCAGTTAGTTATTTGCAAAGTATATCACACCTCTAAGAATAAGGTCTGCAATGCAGGCATTACCACATCACAAGCTCGTAATTGTTTATTTGACCGGCCATGTTTGCTTTAGAGTTAGAATGGGTGATGGGAAGCAGGGGGCAGGGAAAAAGGCCCTTCCCCATCCCCTCTCTTTCTTTTTGACCATCATTTACCCCTTGATACAAATTCATTTCTCTCCTCAGCCTTCCCTGCCATAAAATCAAAGACAGCTGCAAAAATTTTCACCCAGAACAAACTGAGCACTTGCTCACCTAGACAAAACTTTGCAATCACTAGGAAAGGTGATATTAAATCACAGACTCTTCTCAATATGCCTTAAGACCAAGAAGAGCTCACATATAGTACCTCAGTTAATCTATAATATATAGATTTAGCCAAGCCTAAAAGTGGAGCTTCCTTTTTTTTTTCCTGCACGTCTCAAGGGCACAATGCCTTGCCCCAACCAGGACTAGAACCCATGTCATCTGGCTTGGAGCCAAGTGCACTGACAATGGACTACTGAACAAAGCTGTGGCGTTGGCATGCCTGCGGTACAGTTGACTACGCGTGTTAAAAGTAGTACCTTGTACCTTGTACACAGTCATACGATCGTACGGTCATATGGTCATACGGTTGTATGGTCATACGGTTGTATGGTCATACATCCAAATTTTTTCAGCTTGATGGGTTACTACTATTTTGTATAATTATGGGGCTACGCTCTGCGAGCTCCGCTAAAATCGTGTCTGTCAGGGAACTTACTGGAAACACTGGAACAACATCTATGTGACTGTTTAACATGATGGATGGTAAATCAGGCTCTTTTCCTTTCCAAGTAATGACAACTGCCACAACTTTACCTGACTCAGCATTCTATAAGATAAATGAAAAACAAAATCAAATCAAAATAAACCAACTAATTATGGATTTGGCATCAAACTCTTTGAGCATCATCAATCAAAATATCAAAATTCAGCTGGCAGATGTAAAGGAAAGTTACTGGTGGGGTCATAGCAAGGATGGACTTAAAGAATACCTTTTTAGAAGAGGAGGGAGAGGGGGGTTATGTTTTGCCATATTCTGTTATATTACTTGAACATAAAACATGGATCCTGGGGTACCTTTTCCGAGTGTTAGGTGTTTAAAAAGGCATGGGTTTTCACATGCAGAAACAACGTTCACCCAAATACCCCGATGAGGATTTCAATTCACAGCATTAAAAAGAAAACAAACTGAGCCACACCGTAATGACGCAAATTCCATTGTCTTGTGAAGAGTTCTCTCATTGGTATATCAAAAGATATGTCAATTATTTGTTAACTTGAAATTCATTCAGCACTATTCCATGCCAGAAAATTCTGCATATCTACCTTTACACATTTAAATGCGAGATCGAGTTCCTTAGCAATCCTCTCAAGAAAAAGAACGGCGCCATCTGAAATAGTAAAGATGACGTACGAACCATTCAAGAAATTTATGCAATGTTCATTTCACATGAATTTCAATGAATAAAAGGGAAATAATCCTTTCTCCAAAATGCACTCACCATAGTCCGGGTTTGGTTGAACAGTTTTTATCCTCAAATACTCCCTAAAAACTGTAACTGAAGGGTCTTCATCTTCTTCAACTTTAGCGCGTTTGGCCGCCATCTTTCGATTTCTTCCGCATCCTCGTGACAAAGTACTGACTGCTCACATGTTATTCCTCACCTCTCCTCACCTCAATGAAACATTTACCTTTCTGTAATCAATAAACGATGGGTTTGGGTGAGAGAAGAAAAGGAAAAAAAGAGGCTTTTTTCTGCAATGGAAAAAGGTTTTAAAAAAAAGGCATAATATATCTTGTCCTCATAGATTAAAGTATTTCTCCGTTTGGATTTGAGAGGAAGGGGGATGCTGGGAACTTTTCGTCACGCAATCTCTGATAACCTTTAATGTGCTTTGAGAGGCCACGAAAGGTTTCTTTGTCCGGCACGGCGGGAACTACAAAGGTTGCGTTTTTCCGTTTCCTGAATCAACGGGTGAAGGTATCAGGTTTTTTCTCATTTCACACACGAGTTCTCCGAATTTCCTCTCCTTAAGCTAAATGGTGGAGTGAAAGTAAATATGACATAATACTTACCTGCTTGGTAACAGGGGACACCGGGAATTGATACATATTTATGGTTTTAACCTCGCACGATCGTTCTAAAAGTAAATACGTAACTCTCACCGAGTACACTGTCTGTGGGGCTGCCCACTTTGCTTGAATTAATTAGACACTTACAAGCATAACTAGTATATGTATCACTTACATTTGTTTTACAAAAGATCAAATTGTACGCTAAAAGTAAGTCTGGTCTGTGATCAGTTCCATGCGAACATCCTTAGAGTCGGCTGGAAATTCAATATTTACTCGGCCCGAACAGTGAAAAATTGAACCACAACATTTATGCATGGATATAAAACTTTTTATACTAGCCGGGATTATTTTTGTTTTCTTTTGTTTCGGATTCTGATCATAGAATGGGGACAAATAATTTAACAATCAAACTAATTTGACAGATTTTTAACTTAGGAGAAATTGGAATAAGAACAGTTGCAAACACGGTCTAAATTAACTGGCCACTTGCCAGATCAGTTGCACCATGCCTTAACTAATTTCCTTTTGAATTAGTAAGGAGAATTTGTTGGTAGATCAAGATAAGGACTTCTATCTGATAAGTTTGAGTATTCTCATTACCTGTTTGCTGGATAATGTGTGGATATTTTAGGGAGAAGTTACATTTTGATCACTTCTAGGAGTTAAAAGGTCATAAGTAGGATTGATCATGTATTGTTTGAAGTTCTTAAGTTAGGATTTTGTGTTCAAGGTTTTATACCTAATCTTTTTCTTACAATTCACAGCTATAAATAATGAATGAGTCAGCTGTTATGGCCAAAAGGTAAGTTATTAGCCATTACTTCCAAAATTTATAGGAAATTTTATCCATTTCTTGGAAACCAAATGAGTAAATGCCAGTTGGAATTGACAGAAATAATCCTCCTTGTATTGCATAAAACATATAGATACTCAACATGCCTTCGCAGTATGCCATGACCAGTCTTCAAAAAAAAAAGTTTGGGGGTTTTTAAGTCTCTTTAGAACAATAACTATCTTTAGCCTTTATAAAATGTTATTAATGACTCACTCTGTAGTACCACCAATTAAAAACATATCTGGGAGCTAAAGGTCCAAATTACATCAAAACCTGAATTTCTTCAGGCTTCTTTTCTGCAATTTCTTAAATTACAGCTCATTTGTGAGAATCATTTCTTTTTAAACAATGGGCCGACTGGGTAGCAAGTCATGTATGTGACTGAGCTACAGACTCCTACTAGCTATATGAGTAAACTTTTTAGGCCAACAGGAGTTTCAGTAAAATGATCTTAGTACCTTTAAGTACATGGAAAAGTCAAATAGTCGTTTATATAACCACCCCTAGCTACTTTATCCACTCTAAGACTGTTCATTTAAAAATTGTTCACTGCCATCAAGAACAGGTGCTGTTTTTTTCAGCATTCACTGTTCTTTTTCAAGGGAAACCTGCATGTTGTTACTCAGACATTTCAGTTCAAAACCTCTGACCATAGCATTTTTAATGGACTATCATGGTACAAACACTAAAATCCTAATTACTCTTTTTTATTACTTCTCTCTTTCAGAACTGGAATTGTGTTTGATGAAAGGATGAAAAAGCATTTTAATGAATGGGATGCGTAAGTGATGCAATATTGAATTTGATTTTTCTTTTGTGTGTATAGGTTGTATTATTTTGCCTAATGAATGATACTGTTATTGCATTTAGGGGGCCTCTCTCTCTCTCTCATTTTATGCAATCAGTGGGCTTCAGCCTTTCTCTATCAGATGTCCCTCCACTGTTAGCTTTTAGCCCTCTTGGCACTGTTCACAAAAATAAATGTTCAGATAAAAGATTCAGCAAAATTAAGGATTGTTTAGGATGCGGTTTTGAACAACAACCTCTTGTTTGAATAACTAGACCAAAGCCTTTGATCCAGAGTCCAGTGGGGTAACCATTAGACACATGGAATAGTCTAGCTGATCTTATGCAGGGTTGTAAAAATTACTTGTAATCATTTTGTCCTGTGGAAAATCAAGATAGATAGCTCCTAGTAGCATAACCCACCTGGTGTTTATTGGCTTAGTATATTCACCTGCTCACAATCTACTGTATTATAGGATGAGGTATTGAATTTCATTTTATTTTAGAACTCATCCTGAGGTTCCTGATAGAATACAGCGGCCATATGACAAACACAAGGAATATGGTCTCCTGGAAAGGTGTCAGGAAATCCCAGTAAGTAAATCAATTGACTTATCAATGTTATTGCCAGTACTAAGTTAGGGAAATAATTCAAACTGCTTCTGCAGTCTCCGATCAATTTGCCCTTTTTTTTTTTATAATTAATTAATAGACTGAGGTGACTTTAGTTCCTTTCTGAAATCTGGCTCTGAAGAGACTTTCAACTCCATTGACAAGGGATCACTTGCTTTCCTGTATTGTTGATAATTATATATTTCCAACCAAAGTATGCAAGCAACGCTAACTGAGAACTGTTAGAAATGATTACAAAAATAACAATAGTTAGATTTATATTTAATCATATAAATATGTACAGTAGATAAAGTATATGGTCCCACTAATTTACAGCTTGATGTTGGAGTGCCAATTAACATATGTGACAGAGAAAGCAAGTCACTTCATGCTCATTTTTTAAATTTGATAATAATTACCATGTTTGATATTATATTTTCTCAAGTCTCGACTTGCTACAGATGAAGAGCTGCTTAGTCAACACAGGTACACTATCAGATAACAATTTCTATTATCTCCAAAGTGCTAGTAATATTTCTAATGAATTAAATATTATCTTTATGAAGTAGATAATTGAATATTACAGTACAGAATTTTTTTTGTTCCAAAACAAAGCTTCCAATAAAAGTTAACATTTTTAGTCTTGCAGTGTAATCTTGAAAAGAATCCTAGCTGCAAGCAAACTGCTGGCGGCAAAAAAAAAAAAATGTTAACTGCATGTGCTTGTGAATGCCTGTACACTCCAATCTGACTCGGTTCAATTATGATTGAATGGATTAATTAGCTCTGAGCTTATCCATTAAACAAGTTGTAAAAATGCATCATTACATAATGTACATTATCATTGACAGTAAAGAACATGTAAACAAGATGATATCATCACAGACCATGACAAAAGAGGAACTGTACAACATGGGGGCTTGTGATTATGACTCTGTCTACATGAGTGAGGTGAGGACTGGTTTACCAGATATTTCACTACATGTTTAAAATTTTTAAAGAAAAGGGTTGTGGTTTGTCATGGTGGTAAATAAAACACTTTCAAAAGAGAATTATTATTATTTGTCTCACAATGTGGTCACTCTGGATATGGATCAAAGTGTTTCTACTTAACCCTGCTAGTTGTCTTCAGCTGATGTGGTTAATCTAGTATGTATGTAATTATAAAATAATATCTCCTTTCATATTTTTTGGAATCATTTTCAATACATGTAATGTATCTGAGATAAATTTTTTTCCCTTAAGACAAGACAAGACAAGACAACTTTATTTTACCAGGGTAGCCCAGTCAGCTGCAAGGCTGGTATCCTTAGGGGCCCTTACCGATTTATGCCTTTTGATTGGAAGTCTACTTGTGTTTTTAACAGCATGCTTGTGAAAGTGCTCGTGTTGCATGTGGTTGCACTCTATCTGCAGTGGAAGCTGTTGCAACAAACAAGGTGAAAGAAATGATGGCTCATTATTTTGTAGTTTTTACCTTAGTCTTATTTAGCATTCAGTGTTATCATGAAAAATATTTTTTTTTCTCTCTAAATTAGGTTCAAAATGCAGTGGCTATTGTAAGGTATTCATTTTGAGGTATTTTATAGTATGGGTTGGTGTTACATCTACATTAATATATATTCCATTGATAATAATTTGATTTTGAAGCTGCGTAAACCTAAAACTTCTGGAAGTGATTAATGTGTTGTGTCTCCTAAAACTTTTAATATACAATCCTGCAAACAAATGATGAGAATTATGGGAAAGGTCAGCTTTAGGTTGTTATCTTAATTGATGTAACATTCCATATTCTCTTAATTGCTTCTTTCTATTCACAAGAAAATGTGGTGAGGCAGAAACTGAAAATATCTAAGACAACTACTCAGTAGACCTTAAGATCACATTTTAGTAATTCTCCTTACTGCCTGTCTTGCAATTCTTACAATGTTAGTTTGTTTGGAGAATTTGGTATTGGATCAATTATTAATAATTTATTCCCTTGTTGATATTTTTCTTTATTCTCTTTGCTTGTCTCCTTGATATTATAATAATATTGTTAGTAAGGAGAAATTCTCATGATGTTAGTTTGGTTTGGAGAATTTGGTATTGGATCAATCATTTATAATTAATTCCCAAATTGATTTTTTTCTTTAATTGCATTGCTTGTCATCTTGATATTATAATATTATAAGGAGTAGTTCTCTCTTGGTCAATCATGGGAATTTAAGGGTTAAAAAGGTTGAGATTACTCTATTTGGCCACTACAAAATGTAGTGATTTCAATTAAAACATCTAAGTCAATTTGATTTTATTTACTGAGAGGTAGTTTCTGCATAAAATTATGAGTCACAGCCAAAAGTTTACACAGTAAACTCCTCCCCTCCTTCTCTAGTCTCTTCATCCTAAATCTTTCTATATTTTTTTTCATTTCATCAGGCCACCAGGGCATCATGCTGACACTGAGTTTGCCATGGGTTACTGTTTTTTCAACAATGTGGCTGTTGCTGCAAAAATAGCTCAACAAAGATGGAATGTGCAGAGGTATTTATTGAAAAGGAACTGGGCAATGGGCTGTTGAATTAATTTATTGTGTTATGCAGGTAATGATTGGGTGAATTGTCATAAATATGTATTGAACAAAATGTTGTACTTTTCAAATATGTGGCCAGAGACCTTGTCATGTTTGTCATCAATTAGCGGTTTAGCCATAGATGTATTTTATGTGAATATTCAAAGAAAATTTTTTAAATGAAAGGTGAAGCAGCCCATCAGACTTAAAGGTGTTATCAACTAGTTGAATGACAATTAAAGCAATCATTCTTTGTTATCTTGTGGAATATTCCAATACATATGCCTGCTTTTCATTGATTCACCTCTAAGCCTTTCTGACTTGTTATCAGATTTAAAATGTCTCCACATAAGCATATTTTCCAACATAGCATTGTACAGGCTAATAGACTTTTGAATTATTTTGAATAGCCACAAATATCATTTTTAATTAGAAATTCTTGCTAACTTAAGGATTAATTATATCATTTAACTTTTAGGGTTCTAATTGTGGATTGGGACATTCATCATGGCAACGGCACTCAACACCTCTTTGAATCTGATCCCAGGTATCGTCAAGTTTCTGTTGACTAATTGACATACAGTGCTGTATCACTGAAATGGCTTCACTGAGATAGTGTTACATGAGGAAGCAAGGGTTACAGCTGCAGTTGAGTTGAAAGCTTTGGAAAAGCTAGTTAAGTTAAACAAGATTAAATTGAATGCAAAGTCTGGCATGCAGTTCACCTTAATGATTACTCTGCAGTTAGTGACAGAGGTGCTTGATATTTTATCAGGAGTGGTCACTGGCATTTGCTTTTAAGAAGCAAGCAGAGCAGTTATTTGCTCCTTAACTCATTCTTGAGTTTTTTGCTCTGACAGAAAATACATTGTGAATACCTTCTTAGCTGAGACAACATGGTGTAATAATTTTTCAAATGCATGATTTTATGTGCTACACCAATCAGATAAGAAAGAAAGTTGTTCAATTTGTTTCTCAATATCTTTTATGGTTTATTTCTAGTGTTTTGTACTTTTCCATTCATCGATACGATCATGCCCAGTTTTTTCCTTTTTCTACTTCTGCTAATTTTGATGTTGTCGGCAATGGAACTGGCAAAGGGTATACTGTGAATGTACCTTGGAATGAGGTAAATGAAGGAGAGTTCTGTTTTCAATAGAGTTGGTGTTTAGATGACTTTCATAAACCCAAAATCCACTTTATTACAACTGCCAAGTATATTTCAAATTTTTATTAATAGCTTTGTTTGAAAGGATGCCAGGGAAAACCACAAATCAGTTGAGGAGATTGCGTGCTTTTTCTTAGCCAGTTAAAGTGTATGCAAGTTAAACCAAATGAATTTAAACAGGATTTTTTGAAATGTATAATTTAAAAAAAATAATCTTTGACATTTTAATAGTCTTTTCTTTTGATAGCCAAGCTTTGTATTGAGTATGAAGTGATTATCTATCAGGGTTAAAAAAAAAATCAACAGGTTTTTTGTAAATTTTTATTGAAAAAGTTTCATGTTTTAATCAACAGAAGCATATGGGTGATGCTGATTATTTGGCCGTTTTTCATCACATTTTACTTCCTATTGCTTATGAGGTAACACATTGGTCTGGAGATGTGTTATTCCTCTAGATTTTTTACATAGTTCATTATTTCCATCATATGTATGCCATCAGGCAGTGATCCTGGAAAGTATTGTTAAATTACTACAGTAACTGGAGGTTAAAGTTCTTTTGAAGGTGATAATATTGTTGGTGGTTCTTGTTGTTTTTATTCAAAACTAAAATGTTAGCCAACCAGAGCCAAAATAAATAGAATATGGTGCCAATAAGAACTCAAATAAATATATGTATAACTTAATGCTTCAATTGTTCATCTTTTGTTTGATTGGTTTAGGATGGGGAGTGCATAATCTTCTTAACCAAAGAAAAAATTTTTGAAGGCATCACAACCTTAGCAATCCTGGATTGTTAGATAAATTGAAAACCACTCTGAGTATTTGTTGCTTGTGAAATTTATTTCAGTTTGATCCTGATCTTGTTTTGGTGTCGGCTGGTTTTGACTCAGCTCAAGGAGATCCAAAGGTAAAGATTGGTATTTGTACCCTTAATCCTTTAACTCCCAAGATCTCATCAGTAATTCTCTGAACTGTCTGCCATATACCAGTAGTTCTTGTGATGTTAGTTTGGAGAATTTGGTATTAGATCAACTAATAATCTCCTAATTAATATTTTCTTTATTCTCATCACTTGTCTGGTTGATATCGTATTTGATGTTGTAAGGAGAAATTCTGTCTTGATCACTCCCAACTTGACAGAATATCGTCCCCCTCCCATATCCCCAAAAAAGTGTGACCCCATTCTTTAGACAAGCTAGTAACTCTATTGAGAATGAATCCCCAATGTAGTCAATCCTGTTGTGAAAATGCCACCCCATCCAGTAGCACATCTAGCCTATTACTAGGAAGTACCCTCCTGTTCCCCCTACCCCACCTCCCCCTCCCCTGGGCTTGCATCTCTAATGTGTTTTTGTACTTAACTGATGAGAATACGATTTCCTGTGTGCCTTTAGAGTTAATCCGATTCCCCTTCAAATTTATTTTATGTTTCATATGAGACTGAAGGTGAATTTGAATTGACAGGGACTTTGTGATATAACACCAGAAGGTTACCATCACCTTACAAGAATGCTGATGAATTTAGCCACTGGAAGAGTAGTTGTTGTTCTTGAGGTACTTGTGTTCATTTCCAGTGATCATGGGGTTCATCCAAACCTTTTGACTTTTGCAAAACTGAGACTATTCTTGTTTGTTTGGAGGCAAATTGGCAGAGAGATTGTTGACCATGGATTTAAAATCTGGTCATCCACAGTTCAACTTCTTTACTATGTCACCCAAGCCTAGGAGTAAGCCCTCATTACCCACTTCAACTCATCCCCAAATCTTCCGCAAGCAGAGAAACACATGTCTTGCAGCACTCATAATAAGTGCCTGCTCATAGGCTAATACCACCCAACTCAATTTCTTCTTAGTTAGTCCTGAGTTCAATTGCTCTACTGCTCTCAATCAATAGCTTACAGGTTTCTTCTTCTTCTTTACAATTTCTTTTTCCTTTTACTTTAATTTTGTTTCTGTATCAACCCACTTAGCAGATGTATGCTTTAAAGATCAGAACCTAATGAGCTTAATGAGCAATCATCTTCTCTAAATATATATTAAGAGATGTCCTCACCCTCACCCTCACTCCTTCCCTCTCCCCCCCCCCCCCCCGGTCAGCTTCATCGTAACCTATTCCATTAGAGGAGTGGGGGTGACTCAAAATACCCTCAGCTTTGTGACAATTATCTACAATTTGTTTGCTTTTTCGCTTTTTCTAGGGAGGTTATAATCTTACTTCAGTGGAGGAATCTATGTGTGCTTGTACTTCTTCTCTTCTTGGAGATCCATGCCCACAACTTGATGGCCCCATGACACCTCGTGACAGGTAACACAACCATTTTGTTGGGTATTCAAAGTTGCTTCTTCTAGTGTCACCTGTCATCGCAGGCTTATA